ACACAGCGAGTCTCTTTAATATTCTGACGACGTATGCCTTAAATCACCCAAGTGTAAGTTACTGCCAGGGTATGAGCGATTTGGCTTCGCCTCTTCTCGTTACGATGCGGGATGAGGCGCAGGCTTACATCTGTCTCTGTGCCCTCATGAGAAGATTAAAGGATAACTTCATGCTCGATGGTATCGCCATGACTACCAAATTCGCTCATCTCGCAGAAGGTAGATAATCATTTAAAATGTCTTGCAATTTATTTATTCTCTAAGTTTTAATCTTGTTCAATGCTCTATAATCTACATTTTCATTTTAATATTATATATTCCTATCTTTATAATACCATTATACCTTCTTGATAATGCCATTATATCGATATTAAGATATATTTCCTTATAGGTCTTCAACATTATGATCCTGATTTTTATGCATATTTGAAGTCGCATCAGGCGGACGATCTACTCTTTTGTTATCGTTGGCTATTGTTAGAAATGAAACGTGAATTTGCGTTGGACGACGCACTTAGAATGCTCGAGGTTCTATGGGCAGCTTTACCAGCGTCACCACCGACTGGCGAATTGAGTCTTGCCGAGGTGCCTTTTCCGCCAGCATCGCCACCGCCGAGTCCGAATGTGAAGCACATTCGTGAGAACGCGTATACTAAAGTCTGCGCTATTAGACGACAAAGTTCCTCAGCCAGTATTGCCGCTAGCGTGAGGCGAAAGGCCTTCAGTACCGAAGAACCGAGTCTGAAATCATCTACTGAGGTTAACGGAGAAACAAAAAGGTTTCTTGTTTACATAATTATGTTTGTAAAATCAGTTTTCGAAACTTTGCTTGTTGGATAAAATATAAAATTTAGATAAAAGAGATACAAAATAAAAGAGATACACAATAGAAATATAAACGAAAAATATTTGTAGACAAACAATAATACTTAATCATTTTCCGATTCTTTTTTTTTGCGTTGTTAATTAAAGTTTATTTAATAAACGGCAATTTTGATCCTTCTAATCAAATGCCTATTTTCAGATCCAACTCACCGTATGAAGCTTTCTCCGATTCAGAAAATGATTTAACCAGCACGAAAAATAGAAGAAATAATGAATCGACAGAAAAGTGCCTAAGTACTGATTCTCTTCCAGTTAAATCGAAACGCGCAAATCTTTTGGAATTGAAAGAAAGACTGAGTATTCCTAATAAAGAACAGACTAAAAACAGTGAACAGAATGATAGTTCTGGTGAAAAGAAATGTGCGCGAGTGGTAAAGAATTTAAATGAGTTCTTAAACTTTACCAGTCTCAATCGTAGTAAAGTCACGCCCAGCGACGCCGAACCTGAACTCAGGTATTTACTTTCGTAGAAAATATATACTTGTAGCTCAAGATATTCTTGCACATATGTCATAAAATTAAAGCGATTCAAAATTATTACACTTCATCATCGTAGACGTGTCTCGAGCGAGAGCGGCGTCATCAGAGTGTTGAGAGATGAACCGAGCTCGCCAGATGATCCTACAGATTTTTTCCCGATGACTACGTCGATGACTAGAGAATTAAGACTAGAATTGGAATCGTTAGATCGACAAGTATTTGGGCCTTCACCGCCTAGTGAGCTACAATGTGACTGTGTGCTTTCAAAAAGAGAAAGTGATTTACCGGAGAGTGAGACAGAGACAGAATTGGCGAGATGCAGTCCAGCGGCGGATGTGTTTGTATGGGAAAATCCTTTACATACGTTACAACAAAAGCATCATCCCACAACTCCGGACGAGCAGGCGGAATTGGAATACGACGGTGAAATTTTGGAGGATCAGAATGGTGTGAAATCCGTCACACCGATTAGGCTGCTCAAACGTACCACTAGGTAGGTGCTCACGTTTTCATCAAACAAAGATTTATAGATAATATCTATTTAAAAATCTTAATGAGAGCAAAATTATAAGAATTTACAAACTTTCTGCTAAAAGTTTAATTGTTCGGAGAAAAATTTCTAAATTAAAAATCTCTTTGAGATTTTATTTTCTAAATAAATGTTATCTATCTTCTTTACTTTTTTTAATGTGATGCTTTCAAAGTATCGATGGAAAATATCTTTATTCATTTTATATTTATATGTATCTCTTTTATATTTCACTGAAGTAATAAATACATGATAAAATCCTATTATTGTAACTATACAGAATAATTCATATCTCTCCATAAATATGTAAAGATTCATCTTTAAAATTTCAAAGAAATCAGTACCTAATTATAAGAAAATGTGTTTTCTACATTATTTTTATTGAAACGCTTCGTTTATCTTTCAGATCTGAGTCGGCGTCAGATAGCGAAGGAACCGAAAGTTGGCATCAGAACCCACCTATACCAGAAAGTCCAACAAAACAGCAGCAGCAGCAGCAGCTACAGCAACAGCAACAACAACAACAACAATCTGTACAAGAGCAATGCGAAGAAGTGACAGAGCTGACTAATCTTATACCTGCGGGAACAAGCGAGGACCAACTCGGCGAAAACTCGTTGCCGCCGCCACACGAATTCGGTGGCGGCAATCCCTTTTTAATGTTCCTGTGCATCACTCTTCTGCTGCAACATCGGGATTTTGTTATGCGCAATCAAATGGATTATAACGAGATGGCGATGCATTTCGACAAGATGGTTCGCCGTCACAATGTGATCCGTGTACTTAATCAGGCGCGGCAATTATTTGCCGGTTATCTCAGGAGACATTCCGTCGCTTCGTCTTCTTCAGCCGGTTCGACTTCCGCTAGCAAGGCGGACTGCGTGAACGTGTAACTCAATTTTAAAAAACGTCAAGTTATAATTTGAGATTTCAGAATTATTTCATTTAAAATGAATAAGATTCAAACGGCACATATCACGGATATTATGTTGTCGAAAATATTAAAATTCGGAAGACTTAAGAGAAGTAATTCTATAATATTACGGTGCTCTTCCGCGCTCACAACGCGCAATTTATCGTTATACATCATTCACAGTTGTATCGCACGAGGAGTGTTTCTGATTAACCATTCTTTCCTTCGTATTTCTTTTTCTTTTGGTATATAATAAAATAGACTTTTTTCAAATAATTGAATAAAGATTATCCATTGTAGACATTAAAACTATCCAAATCCAAAAACGCGACAACGAATAAGTGACCAATGCAAAAGCAATAAAAGCAACGTATTTACAATCATATATAGAAATTTTAGCTCTTTCCATAAGAACAATTTTTCAAGATAAATCAAATAAAGAAGAAAAGACGATTGATCAGAGACAAAACCACCTAGGCCCGTACTTATTAGCAGTTAAGATTCGTTGGGAGAGTTAGGGATACAACGATTTGAAGCGCTTTAGTTAATTCGCGACCGGCATGCGTAGCCTCATTCGCTCACGCACGTTATCATTCCATCGCGACATAATGCACTCCATCATCCGCACGCATTGACGAACCCTCTTTCGCTGTACCTCGAGATAGAATTAAGCCCTTAGCTTAATGCATTCGAGCGACGACGGCGTTGCGCGTTCTCGAATGCATTAAATTTGTAAAATACTATCTATATCTATATCTACCTAGCAGCTGAGTTTTACTTTGTTCTCAAATAGTACGTTTGAGAAACGACAATAAAGTGCATTTAATTTTATCGCTGATTATAAACCTTTTGTATCATTGAATCTATACCCACTATTTAAATTACAAAAATATTCTAAGATAGTTCTAGTGCCTTCTGATAACAAGCGTGTAAAGTTTCGTTCGTTGAATAATTAAATGCGCTTAAATCTATAGTAATACCTACACCATTTAAACAACGTTAAATTGCTGAAGGTATATCTCGTAAAAATAATTTTTTTTATTAATTAATGATATTTTATGATACATAGGACATATAATAATTAGTAAACAAGTTTAAAATTTATTTTATTATAGTTACATCCTTCTACATTTATTTTCTTTTCAAAATATGAATTTTCTTTTATTTATGAAATGTATATTTTATCTTATTTATAGTTAAAAATATATATAATATCTATATAAATATTATGTACAACACCAATGAAATATCATCTGTAATGGTAGAAAATTAAAAGGCCACTAGTGCATTAATAATACTTTTCCACTTGTAAAAATAAGATGAACTCAATATTTGCAATAGTATCTAAATATACAAGTAATATTACACTATTCAAATACGGATAAATTTTACAAAAATTTTTTGTTAATGAAAGATTGCAATTTTTCTCAAATAGTCAATTTTAACTTTGTCAAAAATTAAAAAGCATAAAATTAGGATAATTACTTATTAATTATCCAAATTTAATAAAAATTTGTATTATAATTATCATAAATTTAATTCAATTTAAAAATATATCGTTTCTATTTTTGTTTTGTTTTATAGCACATACAATGCAGTACATACAAGCGTTACTGCATCCTATGTACAAGATCTAGCCAATAAGACAAAGATTGACGAAGATTTAATACAAAAAAGTGCATATACATACATATATTAAGATGCATTCCATTTCATACATAATTCGCATGATGTGCCTTTTTAAATATTTTTTTTTTAATTTAGTGAACACAGATAAAGTATTCATCGTACAATGAAACAGAACGCTCTCCACAGAGCATGCACACGTGACTCTACCGCATGCGCAGTTCACTGCATTATACATATGATATGATTCAGATTATCATAACCTCAATGGCAAATTTCATCATCCGGTGGTCTTTTACAAAAAAAAAATTCTACGATTAATCTCTCGATTCGCAAGACAGAGCAACGTTTTTTTTCTGTAGGTTCGTTCATTTCAGACAAAAACGCGTTATAATTTTATCGATTTTTAAACCGTATAGCTAAACTGTATATATATAATATAATTACCCATATTTATTGATTCTATTATTATGATTCATTACAATGTATTACAATTGAGAAACATTCCAGAAATTTCCAATTTCGAGAAATCGCGCCTGCAAGCGCACTGCGCATTCTCAGTTTCCGATCGCGCTTGCGCTTACACGTGTTCTCAGGTTCTCACACATCTGACCGTGTGATTCTCGATTTCTCGCACATTCTCACATGCGCCATTCGACTGCTCTGATCCAGCGTGCATCGTGAAACAATCGCATCATTATTGCGTCATGTGAGTAAATTGTGAAATTATTTTCTTCGTAACAACGCGACCCCTTGGAACCTTCAAAATTTTATCGTGAAACATTTCCATGTAAACGGGAATTCAACGTCATGATGACAACGTGTACGGTATATATGACGTAGTAAATAACGTGCTTCTGTTTTGTCTGTGCAGAACTGTCAGGAAACCGCAGGAAACGCGAAGAAGCGAGAATTAAAGGAACGGGATGTTGGTAGCGAAGATCTGTCGGGCTGGGGTTTCGCCAGGTTTGGCGTCACTCGTCCGAACCCCGGTCGTTCCGACGACGCCGAAATTTTCTAAGGGTCAGATCGCGAGATTATTCAGCGATGGACGTAGCTCTTATACGAGAACCGCGAGGAGGAGAGCCACTGTGGTGGAGCAAGCGACAGCCCCGGCTGGTGAAACAGGTAAGATGAATATTTTTATTAGATTTTTATCAGGTGATAATTGATTGCCATGTATATGATGTACATAGTATCGGCGAAACTTGAAAGAAATCCTTGAGAATGTATTAGCTCCTTAAGATTATATTAGCTACATTTATATAGTTCTGTTTTGTGAGACTGATATCTATTGTTATTTTGTAGCATTTAACGTTGGTAAAGCAGCAATCGCTGGAGGAGCACTGATGGGATTAGGTACTCTTTGTTATTATGGATTAGGTCTTTCTTCACAAACGGGTGCCATAGATCATGCACAGTAAGCAACTTGTTTTTTTCTAATAGTTTTTTTCTAATCTGTAAAATTTCTACAATAAGTTATTATCTAAATTTTAAGTTTTAAATTATATAAGACATTAATCGGTCACAGTCGAATGTGAGAAGATTATGATTGGTCAATTTTTTAAGATTTAAAGCTTAGTTAGATAATGAGATATTATAGAAAACCCATAATAGTGAATAATAGTGAATTTGGTCATTTGCACTAATCACTACATTGAATTAATGCATATTAAGACCATTCTAAGAATAGTCTCTTCATATTCGAGTAATTGATCAATTCTTATAATTGTGTATATACAATCATTTACAACTATGATTATGTAATTGTAGAATGAACTTTAAGGGCTGCTTTATATACAGTATCTAAAGCGGCGTAATTTAATCAACTTTGATAATGAAATAATACATATACAGAGTGAATGTTAATGTATCTCTGTATTCTGTTACCATGAGAAGTGACTATACTTCTTTTCAGCTTATTTGAAAGATTTTGTTTAAATTCAAAGAAAGAATTTAAAAAGTGAATTCTTTTTGAGTTTGTAATGATCATCTGTGCTATTTCAGCATGCGATATGTGCGATCTAAGCGATAGCCATTTATCACTACATCATTTTGAATAGTTTAGATGATCATAGCTGCAATCGATAATTCATTTCCCATAATAAAAGGTACATGCATTAATATTCACCCTGTATTCTATTAAATAACATGACAATATATTTGGGTATTTAATTGTAAATATTTATATGCTTTTATATTTAACTAATTTCACGTATAATATAATGTTTTTAGTGCATTAATTTAGTGTAATACAAGTGACTGAATTTGCTATAAAAGTTCTTAATCGTTTTGATATAATTTCCAAATATATATACATAGAATTTTATTACTATAATATTTGTAGCTCAAAGTTTATTGTCAATATGAAAACAGCATGTTATTTCCCCCTGACTCCGCATATCACGGCGCTCGATGGCGAGATTTTTTTCTTTCTCCTTCTTTCTCTCTTTTTCTTTATGATGTAGTTTTTATTTACATCATAAAGGACTCTGCACATTTCTTATGGATTTTAATTCTTGGTCAAATCTTCTCATATTTTGGGAAATTGTAGTTCCAGATATCCTGATTAAAAGTATCAATGGGCGCGATCTCCTAAAATTAACAGGTTCCGAGGTATAACTATTCAAACTTAATTAATTTCTATTTTGGATATTAGATGATATAAACAATCTTGGTCCCACATGATTCTACAGACTTGAAAAAAATATCTGAACTGAGATGAACTTTATAACATGCGAAATAAGGCTGTCATAGTTGCATTTCGCTTTGCAATCTCAATTGTGGCTAAAAATAGACAATGAATAATGTCATATAAAGTTAATGTGCATACATTTTCCGACTTTTAATATTACCCAAGTTGAATAACAGAGGGAAGAATTATATGGAACGTGTTACTGTTGACTCGAATCGGTACAATGGTCATTGGAAAAAATCCGGGCTCTATTAATGATAATACTTATCATTATTTTACTTATTATCATTCGTAGTATTATCATTCACAATTGAGATCGCGAAGCGAAATGCGATTATGCCTTATTTCGCATGTTATAAAGTTCATCTAGGTATTTTTTTCAAGCTGTAGGATCATGTGGGATCAAGATTGTTTATATCGCCCAATATCCGAAATAATAGAATTAATCAAGTTTGAACAATTATATCTCGAAAATGTTAATTTTAATTGTTAATTTAAGGAGATCGCGCCCATTGACATTTTTAATCAGGACACTTGGAACTATAATTTCCCAAAATATGAGAAGATTTGACCGAGAACCAAAATCCACAAGAAACGTGCGGGGGTCTTTTTTATTCTACTAATTGAATTCAACTTGGCAAGATAAAATAAACTTAAAATTATTTTTTTCCATACAGATTATGGCCGCAATACGTTAAAGACAGAGTGAAGTCCACTTACACGTACTTTGGTGCATCCATTGCGGCCAGCGCAGCGTCTGCGGCTATGTGCCTGCGTTCTCCCGTTGTAATGAACATGATAATGCGTCAGGGATGGGTCGCTATAGGTGTATCATTGGCTGCAATGATTGGCAGTGGCATGATTGTACAAGGGCTTCCATATAAGGAAGGATTCAATAGCAAACATATGGCTTGGCTAGTACATACTGGAATCTTGGGCGCTGTTGTAGCACCAATGACTCTTTTGGGTGGACCATTAGTTATCCGAGCTGCTTGGTACACCGCTGGGATAGTCGGTGGTTTATCAGCGATTGCTGTTTGCGCGCCCAGCGATAAGTTTTTGGCAATGGGCGGTCCGCTTGCTATTGGTTTAGGCGTAGTATTTGCCAGCTCGCTTGGTTCTATGTTCCTTCCACCTACGACTGCTCTTGGATCAGGACTGTATTCTGTAGCTCTTTATGGCGGTCTCCTGCTATTTTCTGGATTCCTGCTCTATGACACGCAAAAAATCATCAAACAAGCGGAAACTTATCCGATGTACAACATTCATAATAGGCCGTATGATCCAATAAATAAGTAAGTAATCAGAAAAAATAGTCCTGAATAAGAAAGATTGTTGTTAAATAAAATGTTGATTTTTCTCATCTCATTGAAAAATTTAATAATGTGTTGTAAAGAAATTGTAATGTTTGTGAATGAATATTTTACAATATTTCTTTTTTTAAATATTAAAATCACAAGGGGAACACCAGGTGTTTGATACATTTTTTACAGGCTGTTAAGCGAAAAAAAAAACGATATATATTCAGCCGTTTTAGTCATTGGCCCATAGTTTCGAAGAAATTGATTTTTTAAATATTTATTATAATTTGAAAAACGTACTGTATAAGAAAATATCAATATCTTTATAAATCAATTTCTTTATAATAATAATTGTGTTATAATAATAGAAAACTAATTTGTGCAAAGAACTGTCGACGTGAGAGGATGTCATTAAAAACTATTCGATAATTCATCATCAATTGTCGTCTCCAGTTTTTGCACTGATGATAAAATATGCTTAGTTCTCATCAAAATTGATTTTTGAAAGAAGTTATTTCCATAATGTTAATTAAATCTGCTTTCCTCCAGATATTAGAAAAAGTTATTTTGTCTGCAATAACAATTTATTCGAAAGATGTTCACAATGCAATAAATATTTATGTTTTTCATTTTTTTATGATTTATATCATCCCGTACAATGTATGTTTACAAAACACAATTAGTTTTCTATTATTATTAATAAATCGATTAATATTAATGAAAAGAAGATTACAAACATATGATTTACTTATTTCTAATCACAATTTCCAATTTCTAATTTCATCAGAAACTGTAACAGTTTTCATTACAATCTTATTTATGCGTTCATGTGAATAACAACGACGATAATGATGATAATAATAAATATTTCATAAATAAGTGTTTAATTATTTATAATATTAATTTGTAATTTTATGAAATTTCATTATAATCAAAAAGTAATTAAAATAAATAACATTAGATTAAAATGAAATTTATAAAGATACTGATATTTTCCTATACAGTACAGTACAGTTTTTTCAAATTATTACAATAATTATTTAAAAAATTGATTTCTTTAAAACCATGGGCCAATGACTGAAACAGTCGGATACGTATCGTTTTTGTTTCGCTCAAGAACAGCCTGTAAAAAACACATTAAAATCCCCGACACCGTTACCTGGTCCTTGTCAGTTTCTTTTTATATAATAATTATAAAATTATATACATAAAGTGATAGTTAAATACTCTAAAAAATTTTAAGGAATGATTCTTCACATTAGAGAGAGATCAAAACAAAAACTTCATATGATCATATGTCCGAAACTGTTTAGTTTTAAGATATAAGCTGTCAAAGTTGGAGGAAAAATTTCGTGCATTTTTTTTTTATTTATTTTGAAAACTACTTAGATGATTTTGATGAAACTTTGTGCATAATTAAAAGTTTCATCAAAATAACCCAAATAGATTTTGAAATTTTTACAAAACGACATTTTTTCTTCAATTTAATTTGCGTCTTTGAACTTTTCCCTTTTTGGACATATATGAAGTTTTCTTGATTTAATGTGAGAAATTACCCCTTAAAATTTTTAGAGCTACTTAAGTGATATGAAATATGAATACATAATCATAAAATAATTTTTTTTATATTACCTAAGAATTGTCTCAATATAGAATTAATATTTGTATTTTTACAGTGCAATCTCAATTTATCTGGATACATTGAACATCTTCGTGCGAGTTCTGACTATACTGGCTGGTGGTGGTAATAGACGTAAATAAAAGAATAGAGTACAATAACTAATGAAGTAATATTAGGATCAAAGTAACTCATAAATTATATGTTACACACATAATTTCAATTTAGTAATATTCCTTTTAATAAGAATAAATTGTACAGTTTTAAATTAAGATAAATAAATAGTTCATTACCATACTTCTGTTTTTGTACATGTATATTTTTTTAATGAAAAGTTACAGTGTTATCTATATATTATAATGTTGTAAGACTGTTGTAACCTTGCTAAAAACTGTAACGTATTATTTAAAATAGTGAAACCTCTTATTACGCTTGAATGTTCTCTTGCTACTGTGAAGAATATGTACAAACATTTTTAATTAACTACCAGTTATTCATTAAATAACTTGGACAAATATTTCTATAGTTGGCACTAAACGTAGTTATCTAGTTGAACTGTGTAAGATAATTCGACGTACAATTTATATTAAATCCTAAATTTGTGTCATCTAAATACGAAACTGAATTGCATTGTTGGCATCCTTATTATTAATTCTTATCATACATGACGAAAGGTGAAATTACGATAAATGTAGCAAGGTGTCGGCCGTCGACTCCCATTGTTCCAAATCAAAATCGACTGCTGGATCGATAATTGGCCAGTCTCTCTCATAACGAAATCACATCGCGAAGCGGAGAAGAGGACAAATCGAGTCAGCAACCCCCGCGGTGAGGAGGGGTTTGCGCCTGCGTCTATCTTTCGTCATCGTGAAGGGTGATACTGGTGCGCGACGAATAAGGGAGAGGAACGGAGACGGAGACGTCAGTGAAAATGAGAGAGTAGTAACTATCGAATGGAAAGGGAGAGAGAAAGACAAAGAGAAAAAGAGAGGGACATTGAACGCCGACACCGTGGCCTCGCAGTCTCTTCGCGTCGCGCACCAAGACTCGTCGTTGCGCTTCCTTTTTGTATTTTTTCGAGCTAAGTCGTAGCGTAGTAATTCGATTCGTATCCTCGCGTGACACATTCCCAAGTGCTGTAAACCTAGTGCATTTGCCGGCGACGGCGACGGTGACAACGACGGCGAATGCGAGACTCCTTTTGAGCAACGCTTGAGAATCCGATCAGCGAAGAGACTCTCCTGTGTCTTGCGAGAGAAGAGTTGTCGGTGACCTGCCGATTCAAAGATGTAAGTGAATCAAGTCATATACCTATGGGGATGTGCGATTCTATATGATTGCATCAATAGTATTTAAGTGTTCTGCGCTATTTTTTCGAAAATTCGAAGAATGAAAATCACGAGAATGAAATCCACGAAAAGTCTCTCCCGTTTGCGAAACGTTTATTAATTCAAATAATTTTCATAAATATATCTTTTTATATGAATGAGGCACTACTCTACATATATGTTCTTTATAAGAAGAACACTTTTCTAAAAATAAATCATTCTTTTTTAAGTTGCAATATTATCGAAAGAATATAGATTTTTCAGAATATAGATTTCTCTCTTTTCGGCTTCTTTGAGGGGTGATCTTATGATTCACCTCATGAGATGATAATAAAACGAATCGATGCAATGATGATCTATAATTGTCACTCGAGTAGTGTAATCATATAATACATAAATTATTATGTAAAATTATAACAAATCGGATTATGTTGGTTTGAATAAATTAATGGAAACTGTTGGATAATTAAAACAATATATTAATTCAATAATATCACTAGTTATTCTAAAAGTATGAAAGAACGACATTCAGGTTATCAGTTTAATGACATCTAGCAAAGGTTCATCATAAGATAATAATCTTCAATTCTTTTCTTTTTTATCATTAAGATTTCATTGCATCACTCTGATCTCTCTTTTGTCTTTACTTGATCTGTGGACTTTTCTTATTCTTTTTTTCGATCGATTCGAAATTTTTTTCTTTGGTTTTAATACTTATTAATGCTGAATAATAACGGTCGATCGAAAGTAATATACATATATTTTTATCGCTCGCGTGCACATGTATTCCTCGTGCGATCACCTCGCCGTGAAGCTTCGAAACGGAACGCGCCAAGTGCGGCAATGCACGCAGTTGACGACAAGATGCATTTTGGTGCATCTCGAACGAGGACTTGACATCGCGTGTGCAAAATTCGTGGTACACGCCGACGCTTTTCCGTCCAGATAGAAAGAACGGCGCTGTGCGACGCGACGCGACGCGACATGACGCGTCGCGACGCGTCGCGTCGCGACGCGGCGTGGCGAATCGATCGATCGACGCGTGACTACTGTCGTCAAATAAAAGGCACCGCCAGTAAAATTATCAGTTTGCAGGCTGATAAAAGTTCTAAACCGACATTCTGTATAAAAGTTCTAACCGACATTTTGTATCAATTAAAATTGAAAAATGAAGAATTTTCTCATATAAATTAGTAATTTCTTTTTTCTAAATTACTGTAAATTTTTCGTAAATTCTATGGTATAAATCAGATATCGGGAAATTTTAAATATGAATTAATTTCACATGAAAAATAAATAAAAGTTCTAAACGTAATATAATCTACGGAAGTTTCTGGAAACTTCTATATTTGAACGAACTGTTATAATATCCCATAGAATGTTCTAAATCTGTCAAGAATTTAAATATTTTGTTGCATTTAGAAAAAAATATCTTAATGCAAAAAAAATATTAGGATCCGAATAAATAATTTTCTTGTATTAGGTAAAATTTTTTGTACCAAGATATTTTTCCTTACAATGTGCAAGATCTTTCGAAAAATTTGAAGTAGACTTTTAAAAAAGAGAGATTACATTAATATGTATTAATAATAAGGGTGCGATTATTTACGTTCGCGTTATTCGTGTGAAAATTTTTAGAACGAGATTCTCTTGGCACGCTGCCTGTAATATATTTCAATTCCGCGAAAAGATGCAAAACGCATTGCGAAAGAATATTCGAGGGATCGGAAAGCAAGATGAGGGTGGTTAAGGAGTTGCCTTGGGATACGGGGCTAAGGACTAGAGGACAGCAAATGGTCCATAATTTCTAATTCGCACACATTATCTTCCTCTTCGTAAAATAAAACGAAATGTTTCTATAGTACATAAATGATTTCATAAATCTAATATCTAATACAAATCACTTTTTAAAAAGTTTCATAAAACCAGCAAGGAAAAATTTGATTCAATATCATAAGTTAATTATTATGAAAATAAATGTAATTCTATATATTTGAAATTTTGCTCATATAAAATCTTTTAATAGCATTATACAAAGAGTTAATTTCTATAGAAATCCACTTTGATTTTTCAAATTTATTATACATGCTTTATTGTAAGGCATATCTAGATAAATAACATGAAAATTACATATTCAAGTACATAAAAAAAAAAAACAAATCAGTGTGTATGGTGGATGCAAAATGTAGATATTTCTAGATATAAAATTTTTAATATTTGTTGTATTTCTATGTCGCATTACTATTATGAAACACAATAGTACAAGTTATTGTAGTACACAATAGTACAAGTTTTTATTATATAATAAAATAGCATGAACAATGAATGCAAAAACATATTTTTTTTCTGACGATAATAAAAGGTGGAGTATAAATCGATAGCAAGGGAAAAATTACAGAAGCGTAAATGAATTAAGCTTGTATAGAAGGCGAAAATTGAGGCAATATAAAAAATTGAGAAAATATAAAAGGAGCGTTTACACTTCTGCTATTCTTATATTCGATTTAAGTACGTTCTAATTTTTATTTTCGTCATAATCAAATCAGAGTCGTAAAGATTATCTTGTAACAAAAAGCTTGCGTCCTAAATGTGCTCCAAATATATACATGCAAATATCAATTAATTTAATTCAACTGGCAGAACTGCACTAAAATTTCTAAATATAAATCGTTGACCCTAATTTAATCCCTTTTTTCTTTATCCGTTGACCAATCAAAAATTCTATGTGTTAATTAACAAGACATAGCACAGATACATTATTTGATAAGTTCGATTACCCAGTAAACAAACTGATCTTAGAGAGTTTTTACAATATCATTTATCCAGATAAGATCAGGTTATGTTTTTCTTAACAACTAATTAAGAAAATATAATTCATATATACATTCACCATATTCACGTTATTGCAAAAACTTTCTAATATTTTCGTTGAACGTTAAAGGTCAATATAATGTCAAAATGACAATAAATAGCATCATCTTGTTTGCTAAGTAGTTAATCAAAGTTTACTCCGAGTCACCTTCATAAAATCAAACATGATGGTGATGCTGAGAAGAGATAGGACGCGAAGTTTCAGGGCGCTCGAACGTACGAAACCGTCCCTGGAGAAAGAGGGGGTTGGCGAACAAAACGGTGGGTGGTCGGAGGGTAAAACGAGGGTGTCGGTCGCGAGTCGATAAACCGCGGGGCTGAACGCAAGCAACTTTGCGCACGACTTCAACATGGCGGACGGTGAGTCCCATTCCCTATTTCCTTCGGTAGCCTTGTTGAATGCTGGACGGAGAGCCGGAGAGAGTTTGAGCGTGTGTCACACAATCGATTCGCGGTTCCGCTCGTTCTCGTGGCTACTTGCCCGATTGACAACCTCTCGGAAGTTCTCGCAAAGGATCTCACGTTCGTTTCCGAGCGCGCGCTCTCTCTCTCTCTCTCTCTCTCTCTCTCTCTCTCTCTCTCTTTCTTTCTCTCCCTCTCTTTGTTATTCGAGAGGAGGATGGCCAGTGAAGTGCGCGCGCGAAGATTCATCCCCTTTTTTCTCTCACTGTCTTTGTCTGTCTCGGAGAATGGAGGAATTAAACCGATCGTACGCGTTCTTTTTCAGACGAAGATCAATCGATATGCGGCTCAGGGAGTCGGTCTCGGTGTCGTTGCATCCCGGTGGACTGAACAACAAGTAAGTTATCCCGACAGCGAGATGATCAAATCTATTACGACGCTCGTAATAGAGGGTTAATTGACGGCCGGCCGGCTCGGCGATCACGTGCGCAGATAATAACCATCCCCTAATATCGAGGTGCTGAAACGGACACGGAAATGTGAATGCCACAATTCGTGGAAAGCTGCTACTTTGTTCTTCATATTACATAATGTGTTTCTGAAGTGCTGGTTTTAATGCTGGCTATTAGAGCCATCTTTATCAGTTTTTATTATTAATGTTATTTTATAATGAGTTATTTTATAATTACCATTCTTTATAATGTTATAATAACTTTGAACTTTGTACGCTCTTCTATCTTAAATATTTTAGTTATTAAAAAATTATTTTTGTTTAGTATTTTTTTAATATAATATATAAATTGGATTGAAGATATAATCTTTTTCAACTCTGAATATTAAAAAAATTATTCGATTCTTTTTCTAACTCTTGATAGTCAAAAATTGCAAGAAATATGACAGTTGCCTTTATAAAAATAATATTAATACTGTCCAATTAATCATTTATTTTGTGTGTCGAAAATACTGTTAACACTCCAACTTAAATCATGTATTATAATAAAAAAATAATATTCTTACAGAAATTAATATTAATAACGATCAGTCAATTATACACTTATATATTTCGAGTGTTAATAGTACTTTTGTAATGAAAGATTTAAATAAGATTTTTAATTTAAAATAAATTATTTTAAAATCCATACTAAATATAGTTGCTGAAACATTCCAACGGTAATGGAAAATCGATGAATGTGAATTATTTCTGTTATCAATTTCAATTCTACAATTTATATATATTACATTTATTAATGATGTCCCAAATCAAAGCGAGCTTAATTACCAATGTTTTTCCTCAAGGAAACAATACTTTCTCATTCACATTTCCTAACATATTATATATAATTAGGAGAAGAGCGAAGAACTAAATAAATACACGTCATATAAAGTCCGTTCACGCGGAGTTGCGTCAAGTCATGGCTGCAAATGTCAATCGCTGTAATCTTTGTCTGACCAAGTCGGCTGATTATTTCCTAGTTATAAGTTACGCTAAATATAAACGTCTGATCCGTCTCCGTGGCGGCCGTAGGCGTGCTGCCGCCTATGCCGCCTCGGCATCAGCGGGTTCGAGTGGTATACCTAACGGCAACGCTAGTATCGATCCACCTGGACTCATTTCTCGGTCTCGCTCGCAGCCAGCTCCGCAGGCACAGCCCGAGCCGGAGCGTCGGGGCCGGCGAGATCGGCGATCGTAACGAGAACGCAGCTCAGGAGCCGGCCGCCACTCCTGAACCGGATTATCCGAACGACGAGTCGGCGGATTTCCGGCTGGCCGAGGACACCACCACGTGGTCCTCTCTAGCGATCGCACGCGACAACGTGCAGCAGAGCAACCCGTCAACGCAGCAACCCGTCAACGTCAACAATAATCTTACCGAGCCGAGGATACGGAGGAACAGCTCCGTCGAAAGCCTCGCCGATTACGAAGGTGAGTGTGTCTGTTAAAAGTGTTAAATTTAAATTGTGTTTGTCAATCGCTATAATCTGCTTGTTTCTGTGTGCGTGTACGTGTATGTGTATGTGTCCAGTGTGCGCATATTACAAACTTGTATCGATTTTAAAAGAACCATCTTTAGATGCTCCTTTCTGCGTTTTAGAAAATATGCAATAATTTACTCTTTTATAGAATTTTTAATAATTAAAGTACTAAATCAAAGTAATGATATTTTATATTTGTATATGTGTATATATATATATATATATATAATTT